AAAACAAAATTACAGAAAACAAGTTACTGGTTTAGTTGGCTAAATTTTTTATTTCATCGGTTTTTCGGTTTTTCTTGCTCACCCTAGTTAATAGGGCCATTAGAACCTTGCATAATCAGAATACTTTGTGGGGGGTGAGTGAGTTGTATTGCTATGATGTGCCTTAGCAATTTCCAACTACAATTCTATTGTTTGATCTATTCATGTTTTACATTTCAAGGGATTGGGTGATGGTGAAATGAATAATGATTGCAGTTTCTAGAGGACCATGTTAATTAGAAGAATTGTGCATGAACATTATTTTTGTAATAGAAGAAATTAGTTAATTTTATAATCACATATATATATATATATATATTTTTTTTTTTTTTTCATTTTTTACTCTTCCAATCATTCTGTATTTCTCGCATGTGCTTAGCACGAGCGCCCCTCGCTAATTTTACACTAATTTAAAATTACATATTTACCAAATATCTGCAAAATTGATACCTGGGTTCGATTTTACACCTCTACCAAATGCAACCTTTGGGTTAATTTTCTCCTATTAAAATATATACCCTGCACTTTTTTTTACAAGTTCATCTTGATTTTTATGTTACGACAAATACCCTCCGACCGTTAAATTACCAAAATACCCCGTTAACCTTTCCTTATTTTCCTTTTTTTTCATTCTCTCTTAAAACTCTCCAACGTCGAATTCCACCCACAGTGCTTCAGAAAACATCCCACCGACCGGTGAGATAGAATTTCCACCTTGTTACACCACGAAACGATCATTCCTTCTTTTTTCATCTCTTCCAATATACTCAAACTCGTGTCTTCTACTTTTCGCATCTCGTCGGATGACCCCCCAAGAACAACCGACCACTTTCTAGCAACCCATCTGCAATCTCAAGCAACCTGTCAGATTAACCACGACAACTTGTAAAAGTAACAGCAAAGGTCAATCAAAGTTAATTCATACTACTGTTCATCGTCTTCTTCCACAAGAACAGAGCCTAAACCAGCAACGACATTAACCTGAGTCATTCTTTGCATATCTGGTTTAATATGGGATGAATAGTAGCATCAGTGGGTGAAAGTGGCGATGCACTATTCATGCTTTAACTAATGAGGCCTCATCATTCTTCACACCCCCTGTTCTCGTCGATTAATGAGAGGGGGATTACCGGGTGTGGTAGTGACTAACTAAGCACTTAAAATTTCTCAAAAGTGCAAATAGCAAGTGAATAAGCCGCTTTAGAAAAAGGGTTGCATTTTGAATGCAAAGATAAGAATGGAGAGGGTGAAAGACATGATGAACAAGATTAGGACTGTTCGTCTGGATTGGGGTGTCATATAGTGGGACCTTTCCACATTGCTTTGACCTTTCCACCAAGGAGAGATCAATTGATGCTATTGTCGGATGGTGAAGATTTCAAATTGCTTTTTTGATGCTACTACGTTTAGTACTTAAACAAGAGAAGTTTTCCGGCAGCTTCTGAGCTTAGACACTGCTAGCTCTTCCTTGCGCTTCCAATGGCGGAGAACAGAGGAACTCTTTTGAAGGTGTACTGCAATGGCAGGTGGACCGGCTGAAGGAGTCGATCCGATCATCATAACAAACCAATGTTCTAGCATAGCAAACCATTGAGCTTGGCAAAACTATGCTCTGAAAATTACAATAAAACCAACTCAGCAATGGAACTCAAAATATAATAGATATGTTGGTTCAAATTAAAATGGAGAGAACCTTGCTAGTGCAGAATCCAAATCGGTGCAGTTCTGTACATTGACTACTGCATCTCGTCTAGCCGACTAGAGTGTCAAGTTGGTCTTTCTGACTGTTGTGGAAGCAGGGGTGACGTGGGCAGGTCGCATATCCAACTCGCTGAGAGTAGCGCTAGCATAGATGGAGTTGACCATTTTTCTTGGCATTGTCATAATAGCTGGTGATGGCGGAAGAGTTGAAAATAGGCGACAGGCGAGTGAGGTAATGCTGAAACCCAAAGCCCACTGCATAAATCTCTCGCGCGCGCGCTCTCAGTCCTGTGTTATTGTATCCTTCACAGTTCATACAACCAAACTGTAATAAAGAAAAGCTAACGAGCTCTTTGGTGACTTTTAATGGCGGGAAACAATTGGATCGACAGTTACCTTGAAGGAACAATTGGGTCAACAGTTACCTTGAAGGAATTCTGGATGTCGGTCCTGGTATAGACGAGGCGAAATCGTCGTCGTTGCTGTTGAGGGAGGGAGGGAGATTCAGTCCCACTCGCTACTTCGTTGAAGAAGTGATCACTGGGTTTGATGAGACTGATCTCCATCGCTCATGGGTTTGGTTGTGATAACAAGCTCAATCTTTTAGTTGCTGTCATGGCATGAAGGAAAGCGGAGCGGAGGAAAGACGATGAACAGTACAAAGTATTTAACAGTCGAATAAGAAACTTTTAGGAAGTTAACTGACGGAACGCTAACAGAGGGGGTTTTTGTCTAACGGGCAAAGTCCAAGAAGTCTTTGTCGCAAAAAAATATAGGGTTTTCGTCACATATTCACATCTGTGCCCCTATAACTTCCGCACATCTCCGTCGTGTATCGATGATATATCAAAAATGATAATGTAATCATCGAAAGATGTTCTTAATATACGGCGGGGATATATTGTGGGGCGCCTTGTCGCAGACCCTATACAACAGCGGGATCCGTATAATTTACCCAAAAATGACTTCAAGTCATCAAGTGTTATTTAATAAATTTTCAAAACATGCACCGGTGCTTTCTGTAAATTCCATCCTCTTTCATCTCACCGCAAGTCTACAAGGCGAGATGGCAGTGACCATACTCATACCAGCTCCTTACCCTGTAAACGCCATTGAATACGATACGACCACCAGGACGTGAAGCATATAATCCAAAAGTAGAAATGGGTATTGTATCGTACAACTACGATACAAGGAGAAAACAAAAATCTAAAACAGAAAGAAAAACGGAGGATTAAACTGAAATTGAAACAGAAATTCATGGCAAAACTGAAATTTTGTTTAAGATTAATGGGTTTGATTTGTTGACAATTAGAGGATTAAATTACGAATTCAATTAATTGGTGAAGTTGGGGGATGGGAGGGAGATCGCACTTAAGAAGTTATCGCAAAAATCTAATCAAAAGAAAAAAAAAAAAAAAGCTATGACAGAACCCATGGCAAGGAAAGAGAGAGTTAAACCAACTGATCATGAGTGAAAACAGAGCTAAATATAAACGGTTTGGGTCAATTTCTCAGTTTGGTCGGGTTGGTTCAAAACAGCCTCTAAACTAGCATTTGTTTCAGCATGACAGCGATTTGATGACTGGTTCTACGGTTTGTATAAAGAAGTGGACACGTCCCATATTTAGGTAGGGTCAGGTCGGTTTTGATCAGTTTACATATGACCAAATTGAACCAACTTGAAAAGGTGACTGGCATAAATTGAAAACCAGCTAACTCAGGTCAAGTTTGATGCTCCTTACAATGCATCTCACCATGTGTTGGAAACATTTTTTCATGAATAACAATACATAAATATCGAAGATATTCCCAATATGCAGCTGGGACGTACTATGAGGTTGGTGTAAGGAGAATTGTGTGACGAGTAGAGCTGGACTTACGTCAGTCCCTTATGTAACCTTCCCTCCCTTTGTGTTAGTGATGGATGAGTTTGTTGAATAAATGGATTTTTTGCTCTTCTAACCCTTTAATTTTGCCAAACAATGGAAGGATATCATTATCATTTCTGGTGTTTTTTTTTTTTTTGTCTTGAAGGTTTTAGAAGGGCGACATTAAGGGTGTCAATTGGACTGGATTTTGTCCGATCTGATCCAGTCCAGTGTGAGTTCATTATAAATGGATCAGGTCCAATTCAATTCAATGAATGTTTTTGGACTAATTTAGACCGGTCCAATTCAATGTTTAGACCGTTCAATCTGTTCAAATTCATTTTGACTTAGATTAATTTCAACCAAACCTGGTCCATTGACACATATATTCTTATCTTATATCAATGGACCAGATATTGACTTAATCCAGCCCAATCCAATATAAATTTCTTACGGATGGACCAGATCAAATCCAATCTAATAAATATTTTGAACTGGATTGGTCCAATCCAAAACCGGTCCATTGACACCCTTACGCTACATGAATCAATTCCTTGGGTCTTGATTAAATAGGTCGACATGGTTGATGTGTTAAGAGCTTTTTTTTTTTTTGTTCAATTTGTGTATAGACCTCATTCTTCTACTAGGGCAGCCCGTGGCCCCATGCCATAGCCGTGATGAGGTGTCTTTTGACCTTGATTGGTTTGAAACTTTTGTACAATTTTGTTGTTTAATGATCTTTTTTTTCTACCCAAGTGAGGAGTGGTTTTATTGATAATTTCAGATTATTTACATGCATGAGTAGGCCTAGTAACGGATTTAGTTTTCAGAATATTTAGTCATTATAGACCAAAGATAAGAAATATTTTGTTCTTAAGAAAATGGAATTTTGGAAAAAATAATAAATTTTTATGTTATTGGCATCTGTTACTTTTCTATAATAAATTTATAATTGTTTTATTTATTTCTATTAATTTCAATGCTATATACAAAATTTGGTCTAAAGAAAATACTTTGTTCAATTCTCTTTTCAGTTTCTATAAAAAAATTCAGAACAACTTAAAACCATGGATATGGAAACTACTATTGCAGATTTATTTACTAAAATTTTTTATAAGATGTTTGGTAGAATGCACGTATGAGTAGGTGTACCTTGGGCAGATTTGGGTCAGGCTTTTGTCATAATTTAAGTGGGTCCTGTCTCCTGTCCGAAGTGGGATTAGAGTAAGCCAAATTCAGGCTGAAAACCGCAAATGTAAAAACTAGTGTGATAACCAAAGGTGAAAGGTGGTGTCCACTGTCCAAATTCCAAACTCCAAATCTTGTTTGTAAGTCCTGTGTAGAACTCCCAATTTTCCCAACTTCCCAAAGAGATCAGACATTCAGACGTAGTTGAATATGAGAAGTTTCTTCAAGAAATCTCGATTATTGACACAGAACAATTTATAATGAAGATAATTATAAATAAGCAGAATTGCACCACAAATACTACCAAGCGGTTTATTTCTTTCAAATTTTTTATGCGATGTAGTACATGGGATTTGGGAGTTTGAAGGATCGTTTCGCCATGGCAAAACCCAATAGATCGCTCCATTGATCACCAGAGCTCCCATGAATCCTGTACCCTTCTTCCTCTAATTGCATTCTCTTCTCTGATTTATAGACCAGCGCAATTTTGCCCTCATCTGAAGGTCCCCTGTTTCATGATTCCCATCCTATATCATCACTATTAAGAGCAACAAATATGAAACAACAATAACAGAAATGGATGGCCAATCACCCACACCATTTTTAATGTTCCTAAATAGAGAATAATTAGAGATGTACATAAATGCATACCGTAAGATAAGCCTTTCCCAGTTGCTGTACCCGGCGAATAGAAGGTTTTTCTCTGTGACGTTCCTCTGAGCTTCGGTCCGTCCCGTAAGAAGAACCACCGTAAACCCAAGCTGCTGGAGTTGCTTGTATAGCCTCAGACTAGCTGGTAAAGCCGGCGCTTCCGCCAGTTCCACCCACTCATCGAATGACTTTTCGTCAAACTCCTCCGATCTGCAAGACGAAACCTAGTGTGCTCAATAATTAATCCCATAAAGGCTTGGGCCACAGGACTCATTTACATGGAGGTCTAAAGCCCATAACAAGGTCACGACCAATCGCAATTCTCCTAGAGATGAAATCTAATAACGCTGTCTCTGGTCCAGGTTGACTCGACAAATCCAACCTAATTACACTGCGTAAGGCCAGGATTCTCCTCTGAGTCCAAACGTTGACAACAAATAGCAAGGAACTGCGTAGGTTAATCATCAAATTACCATAAAAGGTTCGCTCGGGTCTGACCTAATATGATAGGGTTGGTAAATGGTAATGGGCCCAGTACTTATAACTCCTTAGGATCTGGGTCAGAACCGAGTTAGTCTGTAGTCCTAGTTCTTACTGCTTCAATATCCGACGATAGTTATAGATAGGCCTGATCACGAGCCAGGTTTTGCCTCTATATTGATAGAATATATTCAGGCATGAGCCTGAGATTGGCCTGACCATTAAGTCTAATCTTGAGTCCGAATCAATAAAATTGGACAAGAAGTTTATTGTTTTTATTTTTATTTAATAATAAAATTATATTATTTATATTAGATAACTTTAAAATTTAAAAATACTGGAAATAGCATGTATTTGGAACCGTGGGCGTTTATTGAATAAATGCTGACACATAGGCACTACTACTTCACCATTTCCTCCATTATATGAATCTATATGTATAGGGACTTGTAAAAGTAGGCTTCAGTTTATGTGCATGTCCACCGTTGGGGGAAATTTCATTTTAGTGCTTCCCCCAATGGTAGGCGTTTATTCACTATTTTGCTGATGTGACGCCTAATGGTGCCTAAGTGTCAATAAATGAGTTCATTCTTACTTTTTTTGGTTTTTCAAACACATAGTTTAATCTTAATATGGTTTATGGTTTAAGAAAAGAAAAGAAGTAAAAAAAATATGTATTATATATTTTTATTATATAAAATATTATTGTGTCAAACTCAGGTATGGGCTGAACATTTTTGAAAAAGCCTAAGCCCGAGCCTATGGACCTAAAAGCTTATCCAAATTCTACCAAGAACAGGCCAATCCATTGAACTATCCAGTCTATGAACAAGTTTGAGTCAAACCCAAACTAATGTCACAACCCTGAGAGCAGTTCACACCAGTGTTTTCAAATCATCGTTGATCGGACGGTCGAACCATTCAACCCAATCCTTGGCCAAAAACCATTGATTTGGTCAATAATCCACTAGCATGGGTAGTTGAATCGTTGACCTGTTCAATGGTTTTTGGCCATTTTTATTTTAATTATATATTTTTTATTTTTTTTTATTTTTTAAGTTGGAACGGATCATTCAATCGAATCAAACTATTGAAATGTCAACCTGAAAACTAGTGACCAGAATGGTTCCAATTTGGGTCGGTTTTTAAAGCCTTAGGAACATCTCCAATGATGACATCATCATTTCCGATATTATCATCATGAGATGTTCCCAATACATGGTCGGAATGTGCTGGGACGTTGTGGGGGCTGATTTGAACTTGCTTATGTCTAGATAAGCTTCAAAATTTATGTTTTTTTTTTCAAGTCCCAAATTAAGCTTCAAATTGCAAATTGAGCTTATCTCTGGATAAGCTTCAAAATTTATATATACTATGATAAAACGGACTCTTGCCTTGGTTTTTGGTTTTGGTGAGGGTAAAAAAAAAAAAAAAAAGAAAATTCCTGATTAGTACTATGAGCCTAGTGCCACTTTGGTCCCCAAACTTTAAAATGTGACAAATTTAGTATTTGAATTTTCACAATGTGACAATCCAGTACCTACCGTTAACCAGCTATTAAACAGTCGTTAAGTGGCATTTGAGAAAAAGACACAAATGCCCTTTGAATGTCATCTAATTTTCTTTATTAATCATCCAAACAGCGACAAAAAATTAACAGTCCCAAGTCCTTGCCTCTTCCATTCAAGAAAATTGGAGTCACATTTGAGTGGACATTCTAGTGACCCTAACTTTCTTGAATAGAAGAACCAAGGATTTGGGACTGTTAATTTTTTGTCAATATTTGAATGATTGATAAAGAAAATTAAATGACATTCAAAGGGCATTTGTATCTTTTTCAAATGCCATTTAACAGCTGATTAACAGTAAGTTAAAAGCATAGGTACTGGATTATCACACTTTCAAAGTTAGGGTAATGAATTATCGGCATTTTAAAGTTTGGGGGACCAAAGTGGCACTGGCTACTAATAAAAAAATTTCTGAAAAATACTTTATTTTTTCTTATACTTTTATTAAAAGTAAAATTTTATCCAATTATATATTCCGCAATTCGCCAATCCCCGACCTATACGTCAGCTGGAAAGTAAAGGATTCCTGAACCATCAATCCAGGTTTGAATTAAAACAAAAAAAAGTCTTTTGCGGAAATAATTTGGTGGTAGTTGGTGTGCAAGCAAGGATAACGTAATTGTAAGGTCAAGGCCAAAAAGATTGTGAGGTGAAGGAGTGGGTTTTCGGATCTAAGGGCAGAGAACCACCACCAATAAGCTAACTGTTTTCCTCTACTCAACGAACGGCAAGAGAGCTGTCGTTCCACACTCACCCGAAACCGTGAAGTTCGTAATACGGCAAGTTCGAGAGCAAAGTTTCATCGATGTCGAATACCCAGACGTCCTTCCCGTGCCCCGACACCTTAACTGTCTTCGCGAATGATAACGAATCCTCGGCGACCACGACTGAATCCGACGCGTAACGATCGCCCGTCACGTATTCTTTCACGAAATTGACGCACCTCTCCGGGATCTGCTTCCAGAGCCCGGCGTCATTGGTCTCGACCGAGAACCTCCAACTGTCGCAAAACATCCCATCGTCTACTCGGATCTTGCGGTCACCGGCGATAGGGTCCACTCTAGCGGATTTTCGGATTTCCGGCAGGATTTTGAGCACTGGCTGTGAAAAGACGCCAAATATGAGACTCGAGAAGACTAAAAGGAGAACGAACCGACCGGAACCCATGCCGGAAAACTTAGATAAAAGTATTTACAGAGAGGGGCTTTCTGATTTTCTCCAGCGAACAGCTGAGCAAATTAGGTTGTGATTTTGTGCTATTGAAAGGTTATATATGTATAAGATTGTGGATGGAGAATGGACAGTGAGTACATTTGTAGCTGCCTTTTGGGATTTCTTCTTTATCATAAAATAATGATATGTGAAGTAATTAGGAGGGACCTAGGCTCGATCATGTCTAATCAAGAATTCAAGATTGTTTGAAGACTTGAATATTGGATATTCGTGGGATCGGGGTTACGGATTATGATGCGTTATCTATGGGCACACATCTTAGCATTTCAAAAACAGTGGATTTTTTTAGGTGTAAAAGACGTGGAAAATAAGTCACTTTCTTACCAGAATAAAAGAATGGTCAATCGTGTTTCATGTTTGGAGTTCCTTTCTTCTTTTGCATTAATGTTTGGAAGTTTGGAATTCTGTTCTGGATTCTAATATCCCAATTTGCTCTGGCCAACTGTTCTAGCTCTTTTTGACTGTCAGTTGTGACAACCCACAACTATAACATAATTAATTAATTACTACATTATGAGCATCCCTTATTAAGTACAGGGCAATTAGTAATTATATCTTTTTTTAGGGATAAGTAAACCGCATTCTGCCCGTGGATTTTGCATCAATCCACGGATATCTTTTCTGATGTTTGGCATCGATGTCATATTTTGAAAAGACGCACCATGTAGGTGCCACATAAGAGAAAATGGTGCTTTAAATAACGTTCTCTTGTTTGGTATTGTATTTTCAAAAAAAAAAAAACATTGCTTTAGACCACGCCTTCAAAGTCGATAAAGTATAGTCTAAAGTAATGTCAAATTCAATGTTTTATGAGAAAACAGTGCATTGCTATCAACGGTGTAATGATGTGGCATCATCTTGGACGTTGGATAATATAAACCATGTTGAAAACGTTTTCTGCCAGCACTGGTACCAAACAAAACCAGTGCAGTTTTCTCAAAAAATAGTCTATGTGGAAGTATCAGTTCTGATGAGGGCAAATTTGGCCCTCCACTGACATCATGACACATAGCATATCAGAACAGTTGAACTACATCCCAGCATCACCTAGGCGACAACTTGTCTTAGCCAAAATGGGGTCCCAGGTGGCGACCTGCCTCTACCACTGACCTGGTGATCTACTTCT